CGAGCAAGTTCCAATCATAGTGACCCTGTATAGGGTTTCTGAGGAGTGGCTGGTGAGTTTGAACCACTGAACTTGCAGTTCAAACTGACCTTGTGGTCCAATGCTTATCCTACAGCACCAGGACTCAGGTGTCCTGTAGCAGAACAGACTGGTGGTGGTAGCATGCTGTGGAGTCGGTTCCAACTCATAGTGACCCTGTATAGGGTTTCTGAGGCTGTAAATCTTTTTACAGGAGCAGAAAGCCTCATCTCTCCCTGGAACAGATGGTAGTTTAGAACTGCTGACCTTGAGGTTAACAGCCTAATTCGTAACCACTGCTGCTACCAGAGCTATACTATCAGAGCTCCTTACCAGAACAGATTAGAAGGTAGTTAAAAGAAAGCATTAATTGAAGGAGCTGGGATCAATTTTAGGGAAAGTGTGGGTTAACACTCTGTACTGCAATGTCAGTTTGAACCGTAAAGTCAGTGGTTCAAGCACACCAGTTGCTTCATGGAAACCCTATACAGGGTTGTTAGGGGTTGGAACTAAGTCGATGGTTCTTAACACCAACAACAAAGCTAAAAATAATTTTCTCCATACTTTTATTTGATTAGTAATTTCTTGTGTTCACCCAAAATATGCTTATTTGGTATTTTAAATTATGATGGTGTGGTTGGCTAAAGAGTGCAAAAATTTAAACCTAGTAAGTCCCGTCTAAATCTTTAGGTCTACAACTGTTTACTTCATGCCAGGTATGCGAAGTAATGGGAACATGTGACAGCCAGATAGAATCTGTATCCTCAAAGCACTATGTCCATCCCAGCTGAGGGGAGGACAGACAGTGTCCATGAGTGTGTGTGAGGATGAGACAGACATCTAGCATGCTGAGGTGACACACTCTTTTGGAGGGTGCGGGGTACTGTGGGAGCTCCCGAGGGGAACCTGTGCCAGACATAGAGTGGAGCAGTTGGGAGGTCATGGGAGCTTCCAGAAGGAAGTTTATGACCAGGCTGATATCTGGTGGAGGAATGGCTATAGATAAGCAATATGAGGTAGGAAGATGGAAGGAGAGGGAGAAAGAAGAGAATTCCTAGGAAGAAAATTCAGCATCTTCAGCATAACACGTGTTCAAGGAAATGAAAGCAGGGTTCAAGGTGACTTGTGATGCGTGAGACTGGGTAGAGCAGGGAGAGATTGGTCAGGTGGTGTGGACTTGACTTCAAAAGCGCTGGAAAGTCTTTGAAGGGCGCCACATGGGTAGGTTTGCATTCTGGCCCTCACCTGGCCCACTGGGCCAGGGATGGGGCTTGTTTCTTCTGCAGTGGGAGGCCATCTGCAGTGGGAGACAGTAGAGGGTTTGAAGAGACACGGTGGAGAACAAGGTGAGTGTGTAGGTTGGAGAAAGCAATAAATGTCTTCTGGGCTTAAAAGATTAATATTTTAAATCTGTATCCTCACACTTTATGGACTGCCTCTAGGGCAATGGCGGAGTCCTGGTTTGGCACTATAGGATAAGCACAGGACTACTAGCCACAGAGTTGGCAGTTCAAACCCACAAGCCACTCCTTGGGAGCTATACATAGTCACTATATACCTCGAAGGCACGTAACCTAGGGGGATGGCAAAGCACTAAACTTGCTGAATCATAATTCAGTATGTCTCTTGCCTTAATTGAAAGGGGTTGAAAATACCAGTGAAGACAGAGAACCCAAGTTACCTAAATAAATCCAATGGGTGATGGCATGCTAGTCATGCTTCATGCTCATTACTCAAAACTTGGCAGTGCTCTTGTTGATTTCACCACCACCAGTTGCTGTCAAATTGATTCCCACTCATGGTCACCCATGTGTGTCAGTAAAACTGTGCTCCGTGGGATTTTCAATGGCTACTTTTTCAGAAGCAGATCTTTCTTCCGTGGTGCCTTTCGAAGGACTTGAATCACTAGTCTTTCAGTTAGCAACTGAATGCATTAACTGTAGCCGCTACTTCACATTGGCTCTTATTTTGAAATTGAAAACCAGGAAGAGAAGCACTTAATTATTTATTTCCTTGTTACAGGAAACAAAGAGTTATGTTGTTGGTGTGTGCCACTGAGCCAGTTCAGACTCCTAGTGACCCTGTATAGTGTTTCTGAGGCTGTAAATCTTTATGGGAGCAGAAAGTCTTATCTTTCTCTCAGAGAGAGTCTTGTAGACTTGAACTTTTAACCTTGCAGTTAGCAAACCTGTTCATAATCCACTAGGCTACCAGTGCTCCTTGGTGGGAGTGATAGGGGAGCAGATTTGGCTGAGCTATTTGCTTCCATTGAGAGGCTACAGTATCTTAGATCACAGAGTCCTTGTTGTTGCTGTGAGGTGCCCTCCAGTTGAATCCAACTCATAGTGATCTTATGCACAACAGAACAAAACACTGCCTGGCCATGGCCATCCTCACAACCCTATACAGGATAGCTGTGAGTTGAAATGGACTCAATGGCATTAACAACAACTCTATGTTCAAGGGTAAGTTTCAGGGTTTCTTCTGCCATCCATTGTTGTCTTTTCTGTCTTTTTAATGACCTGCTTTATTCTTGTGTTATTTTCTTGAGGTCTCCCCACTACTCTTTTGGTCTTCAGTCATTAGTGTCTAATGCATCAAATCCGTTCTTGAGAGGGTCTCAAAATTCAGGGGTATGCTCAAGGTCTTATTTGGGCTCGCGTGGAGTTGTTTTACTTTTCTTCAGCTCAGCCTGAACTTGATATGAGCAAGTGATGGTCTATTCCAGAGTTGTCCCCTGTCCTGGTTTTGGCTGATGATATTGAGCTTCTCTGTCTTCTTATCATATAGTTGTAATCAGTTTGATTCCTGTTTATTCTATCTGGTGAGCTCCACGTGTATAATCTCCATTTATGTTGTTGAAAAATGGTATTTACAGTGAATAAATTACTGGTTTTGCAAAATTATATTATGCAGTCTTCAGTATCATTTCTATCACCAAGGCCATATTTTCTAATTACTGATCTGGCTTCTTTATTTCAAACTTGTACATTCCAATTACCAGTAATTATCAATACATCTTGATTGTGTATTTGATCAATTTCAGACTTAATAATTTCATAGAATTCTCCAATTTCTTCATCACTGGCTTTGGTGGTTGGGCATAAATTTGAGTATTAACTGTATTAACTGGTCTTGTAAGTTTATTGAAACTATCCTATCACAGGCAAAATTGTATTTCAAGTTCTTTGATGATGCATACAGGGGATTGTAATCACTGCAATGAAACAAAATACAATATGATAAATGTAAAGATAATGTTCTCCCATGTAAACCAACACATAATTCACAATTAAAACTTTATTAAAAAAAATCACTAAAGGCAAACACAAACTTATTCTTTCTGGAATGCAATCATCAAAGGTAGTATCCCCTGAGATGCTAGTCACAGGCACTGAACTCCAAGAAGAATCACATTAATTCCAACTTCTTGGTTAGTTCACAAAGTCCTATTTAAGTGCTGATGGTGTTCATGCCTTTGATTTTCCTAAAAGGAAACCTACACTTTTCCAACAGAACTCTGTTTTTGATATATTAAAAGCTATTCTTGATCTGGGCCTTGTAAGAGTTGATTTGTACAAAAATGGTAAAGTTAAATATTGAAATTTTTGCAGTGTAAATCATGAATGCATAAGACTTTCTGTCATTTAAACTGTATCTATAGCAGGAAACTGAATTGACCTTTGCTGCTTTTGAATTTATAGCTAAGAATTAATCTGATGATTATTTGTTTTACAATAAAATGTAATAGTCCAATTAGTTACCCCATTCTGTAGTTAAAATAACTGAATCTATCATGTTATTCATTTTCTTAAAGACACTTTTTATTCTTTGAAACATGAGTAAATTTTGGGTATTGCTTCTAGACTTGAGAAAAAGGTATTGCATTTCCAGTAAATAAGGATATCACTCCTTCACCTGTAAATATCAATTTCTGTTGTTTTAAACTTTGTTCATGGATGTTTGGCTAGAGTAAAAATAAGTGCCTAACACACATAAAAAAATTGTATTTCAGGATAGATCTTGAAATATTCTTTCTGGTGGTGAATGCCACACCATTTCTCTTGAATTTTTCATCCCATATAAATTTGTCATATGATTGTTTTGTTCACTATAGCCAATACTTCTCCATTTCAGCTCACTAATACCTAGAATCTTCATGCATTCCATTTCAGTTTTGACAACTTCCAGTTTTCCGTTACTTATACTTTGTACCTTCCACGCTCTGAGTGTTAATGGGTGTTTACAGCTGTTTCGCCTCATTTTGCTGTTCATCAGTAAATGAAGGTCCCAAAAGCTTTGCTCCATCACGTCACTGAGGTCCAGTCTACTTTTAGGAGGCAGCTCTTTACTAGTCTTTACCTTCCAATTTGAGGGTCTCATCTTCTGGAACTATTTCAGACAATGCTTTGCTGCTATTCATAAGGTTGTCAGGGACTCAGAAGTGAGATCCTGGGACTTGGATGAAGTGGCAGTGGGGTGCTGCAGTGGCTGAGGTGGGTGGGAAAGGGAGGTTTTGTAGCATTCATTATTTGTTATTACTTTATGATTGTTATATATTCTTAGATAAGATTCCTTTTAGGGGCCCAAGGGTAGAATAATTTCACTTTCTGACCATTTCTAGATGTCTATATAAGGGACTTCAGAAAGTTTGTGGAACAGTTCCATTATCTTTTTATTCCATTTTCCACGAACACTTTGAAGTGCACTCCTACCATGCTGTAGTTTGAGGCCTAGGGACATTTGCTGCTATGACTGGCCTGGTGAGCACTTTGCGAGGTTGGACCTGCTGCTTGGAGCCAGGTGTTTTCAGGAGATTGGCTTCAGGGAGGTAACAGAACACAGGGAGGTAAAACCATGCATTTAAGATTTCACTACATGGTTGTCAGAAAACCCAGATCCATTTGCACCCCTCTCTGGAAAACTGTGCATGTTTAACAGCTGAGCATTTATTTTCCTTGTGGTTGTTATCCTTTGTCCAGGTGTGTACCCTTTAAGTGCAGCAACCCAGGAGGTGGAGAGCAGCCGGAAGCTGACTCACTTACTGAATGCTGTGACCGATGCTCTGGTCTGGGTGATCGCCAAGAGTGGCGTGTCCTCTCAGCAGCAGTCGGTCCGCCTGGCTAATCTCCTGATGCTCCTGTCTCACGTCAGACATGCCAGGTACAAGCTCTGTGCGAGTGCTTCCCCGAGTCCGGGGGGCATACATGCTCGCGGCTGGTGAGAAGCTCTGGGAAAAGTGTTTGAGGGAGATAGGGTGTAATTGTCACCCTTAGAGGGAAGTGAACCCCTAAAAGAGAATGGGAGACTTGGTCCACACATAGCTGTAACCACTAAATGAATGTCACATGGCTCCTATGGGATCTTCATGGCAGCCTGGGATGGTTCAACTGTGTTTTAGCTGCAGGGATGACAGATTGTTTATGGTGTTCTAACAGAGATTGTTGTTGTTGTTAAGTGCCGCTGAATCAGGTCCAACCCATAGCAAACCTGTATAAGGTTTCCGAGGAGTGGCTGGTGAGTTTGAACCATGGACCTTGTGGTCCAAACTGACCTTGCAGTCCAGCGTGTTACCCACAGTGCCACACCAGGATAGTTCCTCCTTGAAATAAGCTATAGGCCCCTGTCGGCATCCCCAGGGCTGAGGCTGTGAGTTCAATTGTATGAAGAGGTTTTCCTAGATTACTAGGAAATGAAAATCACCTCTGTCAGCTTTTTCTTTTTTTATTTCAAGTTATTTTGATTTTTAAAAATTTTAATAAATAGATATGTAACAAAACATTTGCCATTTTCATCATGGTGTTCTGCAATCGCCCTTAGGTTGTTCCTCAATTTTCCATCCCCCTTCACCTATTTACAGACTTGCCATTTCCAAAACGTACACTAGGTGCAGGCATGGGGCCTCGGTGGCTGGTGGTGGGCTTGGGAGGGAGCTGGAGGCAAGCAACACAAAGCAAAGGGCTGGGGGTGGGGGGTGGGGGGGGCAGGCTGAGGCCTGGGCTGGCTCTGGACAGGAGACTTGAGAATTCTCCTGGCTGCCTCACAAAAAGAGAACCTTGGCACTTTTTTCCCCATAGTAACAAAGGCATGGAACACCTGCTCAGCATGAAGTGCAAAAATGTGGTCCCAGTCTACGACCTGCTGCTGGAAATGCTGAACGCCCACACGCTTCGGGGGTACAAGTCCTCAGGGTCTGAGTGCAGTTCGGCAGAGGACAGTAAGAGCAAAGAGGGCTGTCAGACCCCGCAGTTTCAATGAGAGCCTGTCCTGAGGTGACTGAACTCCGTGTGCAGTGTAAACCTTGCTGGGGTTGGTGGGCTTCATTATCTTTCTGCTGCATGGTGGCTCCTCATTGCTATGGAAGGCTTGGTCCTGTGCCATCTCCCCTCAACCTCTGGGGGCCATATATATCAGGGAGTGTATTTAAATCATTTGCATCTCGGATGGTATCAAAGGAGCTTGGTGTGATCCCTTTTTAAATTTCCCATCTCCCTCCCATCCCTTTGGAAAAGATCTTCTGAAAAGTTTTGGAATGAATGATTGGAACCTGACTTAGGAGAGAATGCGGACGTGGACACACCCTTACTGTGCTACCTAAACTACCCTACAGTAGAGCTTTGGACACTCTTGGATCCACAATTAAGGCTTATGACAGTAGCAGCCAAGAAACATTGGGCAAATCTGCGGCAAAAGACCTTTTTAAAGATGCCACTTTGAGGAGTAACATGTGCCTGACCCAAGCCCTGATCTTTTCATTCGCCTCATATGCATCTAAAAGCTGGACAATGACAAGGAAGACTGGAGAACTGAAGCCTTTGATTTATGTTGCTGGTGAAGAATATTAAATAAGCTGTGGACTGCCAGAACAACATATTGGTCTGTTATGACAGTGGTACAGCCAGGATGCTCCTTTAAGGGACTTTGTCTCTTCTACTTAGGACATGTTATCAGGAGGGACCAGTCTCTGGAAAAGGACATCATGCTTGCTGAAGTAGAGGGTCATTGAAAAAGAGGAAGACCCTCAGTGAGATGGATTGACCCAGTGTCTGCAACCCTAGGCTCAAACATAGCAACAATTTGAGGCTGAGGCAGTGTTTCTTCTGTTGTGTGTGAGATTGCTAGGAGTCAGAACAGACTCGATGGCTCTCAATACCACTTTCCTCTGGACTACTTGATAGTAGGATTGAAAACTACAATGACAATCAACTGACTAGCTTCACATACCTACCTCACAGGTCTTGTGAGGACTGATGTCACGTAGTCCTATGATTCTGTCAAAATCCTGAGGGATTGTGACTTAGGGAACAGGTATCTAATTTGAGACATTCTTCTCTCAGATCTTGCTGCCATCTTAAATGCTGATTCCTCTGTCTTGATTTGCACTCATAGGACCTTGCCTGCAAGTTGGAGGGGAGTTATCACTTTCATGGAGGGATGTGATTGAAATCTCCTGGATCCTACAACTGCCCTTCCTTAAAGCTCTGAAAAAAGGCCCCAAATGTGTAGGATGGGAAGCTCTGTCTGGTCAGTATGGTGGTTAAAGTGCGAGGCTGCTAACAGAAGGGACAGCAGTGTGAACTCACCATCTGCTCTGAGGGAGAAAGATGGGGAAGCCTGCTTCTGCAAGGATTACGGCCTTGGAAAGGCTACACCAAACCCAATGGAACTCAACCCACTGCTAGTCTATTCCAACTCACAGTGACCCTGTAGAGGTTTCTGAGGTGATAAATCTTTATGGGAGCAGAAAGCCTTGTCTTTCTCCTTCAGAGCAATTGGTGAGTTTGAACTGCCGGTCTTGCTGTTTGCTTATCCTGCAGTGCCACCAGGGCTGTTTTGGAAATGCTATGGAGCAGTGCTATTCTGTCCTATAGAGTTCCTTTGAGTCACAGTCAACTCTATGGCCAGTGCAGGTCATAACCAGCAGCATCTTGTCATCCACCAAAGGAAACAAGGACACCTGCGGCCATGGATATACAAGGAGTACTGGTATATGGAGGGAGATTACGTGTACACACTCCAGGGTGTCACCCTGCTGGCCAAATTGTATGGATTTGATGAGCATGGCTCTTAAACAAGCCCTGTGTGTGAACTCAAAAAAAATAGAGAATTTTTAGGGGTATTTGTATTTGTATTAGAAAGAATTCTTTTACACCCTACTGCTATTTTAAAATATTTTCTTATTAGAACATTTATATGGTGGGTTGGGTGAAATGAAGACTTAGTAAAATATTATTTCTTATACCAAGAAGAAAGTAAATAGGATCTGATGAGACGTGTTGCTGTTGAGTCGATTGAGACTCTTAGCCATCTCAGACACGATCATTTTAACTTGCTTTTCATACAGATTTTCAGGAACACAATGAATGCACAAAGAGAGTTACACCTTCACTTTGGAAATGAGCCATTAAGCCTTCGTGCTTGATATTTGTGGAAATATTTTTTAAAAATTACTCTGTGATGGATTAAATCCATTTTCTTTCTGAAACTAGGCTTATTTTGCCAGCACATTCTAATTTGAAAATATATAATATTCTTATATAATTAAGATGACACATTTCTGTAAGTTGCTAAAACCCTTTTTTAAAACAAACATAAAAGTTACATAAAGGAAATGATTTTAAAAAAACAACCACCCACGTATCATTTGGTACTTAAAAATATTTGTGGAGCACTTACTATGTACCAGAGTTCTCAGCGCCTCTCACTGGTCCCCTGATTTTTGGCTGTGGAAATTTGGGAGCATAGATGCATACTTGCTCAAGATCACACACGCAGAGTGATAGGACTGGACACAGTGCGATTTCAGTGCATAAACCAACCATGCAGCAGTTCAAGTCATTTAAGGGAAAAGGGTTTTAAACTGCATTGTCCATCCATCAAATGCAATCTGCGTAAGTGGAGCTAGGGGCCCTCTCTTGGCATTCCCTTCCGGATTACCAGAACACTCCTGCACAGCATTAGCGTGCAAACTTTTGACATGGAAGCTCAAGGCTATCTTTTATGCATGTGTAAAGTAAAAGCCCATAGTAGTAAACTGACCTGCTCCAGGTCCTGACACTACTTATGACAAAGCTTGGGCCAGGATTCAAGTGTTGTGGCTGCCCGGCCAGCATTGTCCTGAGACAGGACTAGCTTTGGTGAGAGTCCGCTTCTTGAGCTGAATGGCAGTGTGAACGGAGAGATCAGTGGTTCTTGCTGCACCTTTAGACTGCTCAGCTTAGCGGGGTCTGCAGGAACCTTTAGAGGACAGCAGTGGTGACAGGTGGAAATAGAGTTCTATGGTTCCTGTCCTTCTCTCATAGGTTCCTACACAAGTGAGCAGTTATCACCTCCTTCTATCTGCTATTGCTTTTCCCAACTGCATTTTAGTCAAGTATCCTCCTTAGATTTACTTACCCATGTCAGTTTACCTGGGTAAGTTTACCCATGTAAAACGTTTGTATCCTTTAGGCACTTAGGGCTTTCCTGTGGAGTCTGGTGTATACTGCAGTGTGAAACCACTTACTCTTTATATCTCTCAAAGCCGCTGGATTTGCAGCCCTGGTGGCAGCTCTAAGACGTGTGTTGTTTCTGCAATATATGCTCTTCTTCTCACCCTTTTTGTTGGAATCAAAGCCCTGTTCTGTTTGTGTAATACAACGATCCTGTTTACTTGTGGGCCAGCCACTTTTACATGCTGGTGAGATTCTTCTCTGGGCAGTGCAAAGCCTTGGGATGTTAGCCCAGAACAGCTTCTGGTAACTGTACAGTCCTGCGGCTGCGTTTGTTTGTTTTGTTGTGGGTATCTAAATGCCATGACCACTCCTGTGTACCTCAGAGCCCGCTGGCTGGCTGTGGTGTCATTTTTCCAACTGAATGCTTTGTATCATTAAACCAATTTGTTGATGACCATCACAAGTTTTTTAATGTGGACCTTTTTAGAAGTGAAAAATCAGTGTGGAGCCAGAGCAGATTTTGAGTTCTGCTTTCCATTTCCTGCAGGTAGTACTTTAGCCTTTCTGTCCTCAGTGTTCATCGCAGAAAGAAGTCTCATGTGACAGACACTCAATAAAGTGGTTTTTCAAACTTTTGGCTTTACAAATGTATTTGTCAGGAGCTGAATATAAGACCTTTCAGTGGTTAGGCAAAATCATCACTGTTCACATTGTATTCTGAATCCTATTTTATTTCAGGTCACAGAGCTTTCTGAGACTTTTATGAAAACTTAGGAAAAGACACGTGAACACAAATGCTTACATCCAATTCAGCAGATTTAAGAACCTCTGACTTAATCTAAGACTTTTTGAAACAGAAACATAACCTTTAGTTGGCCAATCTCATACAGCAATAAAGTAAAAGTTCTGGTATTCAGGATATCAATTATTTTCTTTAATTACCCTGAGTCAATACATATTACATAGCCCTTTAGGGATGGGGAGAAAAGTTACTTCATTTATACTAATTACGTTATGCTAGTGCCAAGAATCATCTGAAATTTTCTCTAGCATGCTAGGGAACAGAAGGAGCAGAAACTGTGACAATCTAAAGCCTGGCTACTCTCAGAACAAGTGTTTTTGAAGCAGCAGAGCTTCCTTCCAAGGGAAAAAGACTCAAGACTCAATGACTTCATCCTGTGTTGGCGCAGGTAAGTGATGTGCTGAATTAAAATGTAAGATGTAACTGCATTTAACTACTGATTTTGACTTACCTCAACATCTACAAGGGCAGGGGAGGTCTAGGTCTCTCAGATACCCGAGTCCATAGGAGGGGAAGGTAGACAGCAGGTAGACAAAACAGCAAGGGCCCTCTCACTAATTCAGGGACCTGAAGACAAAAATGTGGGGTTTTTCACTTTAAATTTCTCTGGGATTATTGTGATTCATAAAGATTCTGTTTAAGAGTGAAAACAGTTGGTCATTCTGTGGTAAAAGCACCTAGTTCTCTCTCCTTGTCACTTGCACACTTTGCTGACTTTACACACTGAAAGTGAAGACAGATGTTCTCTTCATGTGGTCCCTGCACACATCTTATGGATGCCTGACCCACAGAGGAGACACGGGGGTTCAAAGTCTAGGTTATTACTTGCTGCGGGGCTTCACTGGCTTCCCCAGAGGGTATTGTCTGCAGAGCGGAGGGGACTGAGAGTGAGGAGAAGCCAGTGGTGTTGCCCAGGTCCAGAGAATCTGGTCAAGAGCAGTTCACCAAGCAACTGCGATCAGTCACTTCTATTGGATTGCTGGAAGTCGGAATCAATGACACCCAACAATGACAGTTTTTCACCAAGGAAGGAGAAAATGCTGATGTTTACTCTGTTTAGATGAAACTAGAATTATGACAAAGATGAATTTTGCCTGACCCTTCCTTAAAATCCCTCTCTTTTGTGTGTGTGTTCTGAGGTTTACTGCAAGTGGATGGAGACAAGTTAATGATCTACTGTTTAAATAACTTTAGAACAGATATTCCCTTTTCTCATGTCTCTCACCCTCAACCTAACCCTTACCTCTGGGGTCTCCACCACTGCAAGCTTCCTTGCTTCCCCTCCCTTTAGTCCGCTCCCCTCTGTTACTATGTGATGGTTAGTTGACATGGAATTAATTCTGACTCACAGAAACCCTGGTGGCCGAATGGGTGTTCAAGGCTGAGACAGCTCAGAAACACATTGCCAGGCCATACCTCTGAGGCACCTCTTGCTGGGTTTGATCTACTGACCTTTTGGGTTAGTAGTCCAGTGCTTAACCATTTGCGCCACCCAGAGACTCCCCCTTACTATAACCCTTTAGAATAAAAGTCATCCTTGCTAGTTTTAATGTTTGTTAGATGTCTTATTACCTATTATATATTAATTCCTCTGGAGAGAGCTGAGCAGAGGAAACTGGGTGACATGGTCCTCCCCTTGTGTCCAGTTGTACAGAAGCTGGGCCCTCTACCGCTGGAAGCTCTCACACCAAGGAATTTACATCTAAAGTCTCCTTCTCCCAGACATGGTGGAGTGTCTAAATCTCATAAGTAATTCTGAACAGTGTTAACTGGAAAGAACATAAAACTTACTTCAGAATTTAAAAAAAAAAAAAGCTTTTTTTTTTTTGGAAGACCAAGCATACCAGCACTGGACTGTGAAACACAAGGTTGCCAGTTCAAATCCACTAGTTGCTCCTTGGAAACCCTATACAGGGTTGCTATGAGTTGGAACCAACTACCAACACGACAGTCCTTAACAACAAAGCATACCATTGAACTGTGCTGCAAAAGAATCCAACACAAGAGTTTGGCTAAAAAAAAATTTGTTTTTTAATCAGAAATAGTTGTACAAACCATAAACAACTTCAAGTTTCTTAACCATCCCCAGGTCCAAACAATTCAATGTAACTTGAAGCATCCTTTTATTAAATGTGAAAAGTCTTATAAAATTAACTTACAAAAACATCCCTATCAAGTCTGTAGTTTGGCATTTACTGTACATTTAAGTCCAAAGCTCAAGCTAAAATCCAATTTCTTTTTTTTTAAATCAAAGTTTACATTATTCATACAGATTCAGCGTTGTTAAAAAATATGCACAATGACCACATCCATGCAGTATAATTTATTTAAAAATTGAAGCAGTATAAAAGAGCAGACACCTAAGTATGGAACAGAACATTCTGGTTTGCTTAAGATCATACCTGTTGCTCAAGATTGCTAAGTTGACTGGAATAAAATTAATTCTAAACATTTTAAATAAGATTGTTTCAATCAATCAGCCAAGGGTGCACAGAGGTTCTGAACCATGTCTAAGGGAGAATCTGTGGGCTTGTTTCTGCTCTGTATCATGTGATGAAAGCCACTGCTCATGGACCATAGTAGCAACATCATCATAATGGTGTTTTATAAACAGATCAGAATTCACAAAGTGTTTGGCTCCTCAGGAAACTTCGTGTCACGGAAGTCCCTAAACCAAGTAACTTTGCAAATCCCCTGGGGAAGAGCGGCACAGGCTCCTGGCCCAGGGGAAGAACGCTGCCCTGGGCTGCAGAGTGTGCTCTCCACCAGGCCCAGAGGGAGGTGTCCACAGCAGCTCCCTGGAGTGTGCCAAACGCTGATTCGCTCACATGTTGGGCTGGGAACCTTCTGGCAGCGTGGCACTGCAGGCCAAGCCAGGCCTTCTATGTGGGAGGTGGCCCGTTGGTATACCGCAGCATGGGGTAAAAGGACCTGGCGAAGTTGTTGGCCTGGGTGCAGCTGTAGTCCTCTTCGGAGGAGGGCAGGAGGCAGGCCAAGAGCAGCAGCAGCAGGAGCAGCAGCTGTAGGGGCAGCGCCACCCTGAACACGCGCGACAGGAAGGAGCGCTGCGGCCGCGAGCTGCCGGGCCCGGGCACCCTGCCAACAGAGGAGGTGAGAACTGGTCAGTAAGCTAAGTCCACTTACGTTACCTGACCCCCTGCTTATGTAACGGAAGACAGCCAGGACCGGAGATGAAAAGGGGGCTGGCAGCTGGGGTTCCATTTTGGAAGAGAAGCAGGCAAACCAGAAAGGCAGTTTTCTAATGACACAGAGAGTGGCACTGGCAAGTCTGGTGTGGACCCGGGTGACACGCATCACTGACTGAAATGCCCTGTTACCTGCTCTCCATCTTGTCCTGGCCTTCTGTAGTTCTCTGGGATCCCAACTGCTGGGGAAAAAAATAGTAAATTGAGGAGAGTTTAGTACTGCCAATGATAAAATGTCCTTTCTTAAATGATACTGCCCTTAGATCATATTCAGACTATCGTAATACATCAGAGATTAAACTCTAAGACTGGTCTGTTAAACCATGGAAGAATTTCACATTCCAGTTTGTTCATCTCTTTCTACTGGTGATATGGGGCACCCTTAAACAATGCTAGAAGGGCTTCCATCTTCTACTCCCTACTACAATCTGGAAGAGAGGAAAGCTTCTGAATCAGACCTTCTAAAAGTGTGTTACTTTTGTCTTTTTTAAACTTTGGAGTAAGTCTCTGCTAATGAGAAGGTTGAAGCAGATCTGTGTTGTCATGACGCATCTAATGAGACTTGAGTTTCTGTCATCCCAATAAGTTTATAAAAATGTTCTTACAGAAGAAAGGGGCTCTTCTCACCTTCGCTTGGGTAGCTGGTCTGGACGCTGCCGGAGGCTGGCTCCTAGAGTCATCTCCATCAAATTCAGGCAGAGATGGGCCTGGGTTCTGAAATCCACATCCAAAGGTTCAGTTCAGGGAAACAGAAGGTTCGGAATAGTCTCAAGAGCACCGAAGTGTGCCTCATTTAGATTCTTCATTGTGCTGTTCCCCCCACCCCCAGCTTAAATCGGTCTTATAGTGGGGCTTTCCCTACTAATAGAGATTTCAGGCCCGAGGGAACGTGAACTGGGTGAGGCCAGTCATTTGCATTAAAAGCCCATAGCACCCAGTTGGGGGCTAGAAGTGAATGGGTAGTGGGGAGACCAAGTTTGGCAGCGGCCTGAGGGAACACAGAGACAGCTGACCTCAGTCACCTCACTGTGACCCTGGAGCCATCCAAACGTTTAAGGGCTAGAGTACCAGCCAAAAGGTTGAAGATTCAAACCTACCTAGAAACGCCGCGGGAGACAGACCCAGCGATCTGCTACTGAACTGAGGAGTTCTGGTCTGCACACAGGAGCTCTGGTGTGGAGCTATACGACAAGCACTAGACTGCTAACTACAAGGTTGACAGCTCCTTGGAAACCCTATATAAGGCTGCTATGATTCGGAACTGACTCCATGGTACTTAACAACAACACTCTCTGCACATGGGGTCACCAAGAGTCAGAATCGATGGAACAGTAACTGAATCCTGTCCTAAATCTGGGTATTCTGTGTTCTGAGTTGCATTACATTTTAAAAGAAAGCATACAGATGGGAACGTTTGCGTTTGGTTACACAGATTCAAATATATCTTCAAATATGCGTATGTCACTCTTTCAGGCCATCCACCAAGAAAGGGGCAGACAGGAGGAGATTCCAGCTTTTGCCCTTCCACCATAGCAAGCCTGCTACGTACCTTTTCCGTTAGCATCTAACACGACACCTTCATTTCAAGTTCCAAGAGGACTCACCTGGCTTCCCTGCAAGAACATTAAGTCCTGGGACACTTCTTCCAATAATTGTTTGAACTTCTTCCCAATAACATGCACTTTCTCTTCAGCCTCAATATAGTCTTCTCCATGCCCTTTGAGAAGGTTGGCTGAAATCTCCTGTAAGGATTCTACTTGAGGTTGATGTTCCAGGAGCTCCTTTTCAAGTTGCTTTTAAAAAAAAAAAGTTGTTTGTCAAAGGGAAGCTAGTGTGACCAGATGAAGCTGGAAAGGTCTGAAAGGAATGAGAGAGACACTCAACTCCAGAACTTTTTACTTCTACATCTGCCTCCTTAGCATCAGTTTGGTAGCAAGTAGATTACGTGTTTTTTTTGAGGAGTTAGAGGAGGAAGTGAGAGAATTCATTGGGAAGACCAGACCCCTCATCCACAATGGCAGGAAGTCAAGAGAACAGCTAAGGCTGATTAATTAAGAAATCAATTAAGAATGCTGGTGGTGTTAAGTGCTGTCAAGTCTGTGTTAATTCACAGTGGCCTTAGATAGGGTTTCCCAGAAGCTGCTGGTGAGTTTGAACTGTCGACCTTGCAACTCAAATGACCTTGTGGTCCAGTGCTTATCCTGTGGAGTTATGTATCAGGCGATTCAGTTTGAATTGTTGAGGAGAACTGTCAAATATTGGGAGCCACTAGCCACATGTGGCTATTTTTAAATTCATTAAATTTAAAAGCTCAATTTCTCAGTCACACTAGCGCCATTCCATGTGCACAAATGCTGGAATATCTTCATCACTTCAGGAAGAAATTCTATTGGATAAAACTGCTTTAGAGAATGGAGCTTGGCAAAGATTTGAAGTCAAATCTATATGGTATTTTAAGTAACAGAGTGCACTTTGATGAAATTTAAAACACTTGCAATTTAAACCACATATACACTTGTGGGTAAAAATGTCATCTCAAGTTGTCATTTCATATATTTATCTCACAACCTAAGATGAGAATACACAGAGGTCTCATCTTAGGTGGTCGTTGGTAAGTGCTGTTGAGGTGGGTTCCGACTCATAGCCACCCTGTATAGGATTTCCAAGGAGCGGCTGGTGAGCATGAAGCACTTAGGTAGTGAGATAAATATACGAAATGACAACTGGCCTCTAAGAACACGTTCCTGTAGTGAATACAGAAACCTCCTCCAGCTCCTCATGGCTACAGAGCAAAGGAACACTGTCGGTGGTGGTTATGTGCCGTGGGGTCCGTTTTGACTCATAGCGATCCTGTACAGGGTTTCCAAGGCTGGAAATCTTTATGGGAGCAGAAAGCCTCATCTTTTACCCCGCAGAACAGCTGGTAGTTTCGAACTGCTGACCTTAAGGTTCGCTGCTGTGGTTCCCTCCAAATTAGCAGTAATCACAAGGGAAAAAAAAATACTCGAATTCAAATGGTCTTCAGTGTCCCAGACTACTGCTGAACATCTATGTCCTTAACTTCCGAGTCTTTCAGACAGGTTGCCCAGGACTATAGCTCTTCATCCCTGTGCATCGCCCTGCGGCAGGACCACAAAGGGATGTGGGCACCAGCTAAAACACGAGGGTTAAACTCAGGAGTGCAGCTTCTGAATGAGTCAAAGACAAACACCACTTGGGCTTTTGCTCACAAACATCAGGCTAGGCTTCTAGGTACTCTGACCTAAGTGGCTGTGACAGGAGGAAACTTACCACTAGTGCTTGCTGTTGCTCCAGGAGAAGCTGGGGATCTGCCTTTGGATCGGTGACATGAGCCTCCCGCCTCCGGTTCTCAGCACTTGCTAGCCACAGGAGCAGACTCTGACTCAAATCGTGGAAGTCCTTTGAAAACAACACACACAGAACATTGTCCTTGCTTGTTGCGAGGTACCATCGACTTGGTTCTGACTCATAGCAACCCTGTATAGGAACAGCTGGCGGGTTTGAACTGCTGAGTCTGTGGTTCAAAGTCCAGTGCTGATCTCCTACAGCCCCAGAACCATGAAAGAAGAGATTCTGGGAAGGCAGCTGGTGGTTTCTAATCCATCCTGGGCATCTGCTCTTACCCAGTGGGAAAGGAAGGCCAGGTTTAGAAGAAATGTCAGGCCCCAAAACAAGGAGAAGAGAAAGCAGGAAAGTTGAGGGCACTAAGCACCCTCCCAGAATGTGTGATGAGTTGTGCAAAGTGAATAGTGCTAACAAAAAGGTGGAGCCTCAACTGAAATTACCTATGAAGTCCACACCAACTACTTTTCATATTTGCTGATTTAGTGGCTGAGGCACTTGACCCAATAAATAGGGCAGGTTGTGGCTCACAGACAGGATTCCACTTGGGTGTGCTAGTGGACTCACGTTAGCTAAGATGGGTCTGAGCTAAATAGCAGTATGTAGTTGACATGCACTGAGTGTCTACCATGTACTCAGGCACTGGGCTCAGATGACACACACTGGCTCATTTAGTCCTAAAAAAATGCCCTGTGATTAGGTACTAAACTGATTCCCATATTTCAGAGGAGAAAACTAAATTCTAGAAGGTTGTCCATAGTCAGCCAGTAAGTGAAAGAGGTGGACTGATGGCTCCTTCTGTTTCAGGGCCCGATCTCTAAATCACTGTGCTGTAAGGCCTTCCTGGCAGACAGACAGAGAGGGGGACAATGTGGAGGTGGCATTTCCCACCTACTGGAATGCCTGCTGGAACCCTTCCTCTAGCTGGTTTAAGCGTGGGTCAGGCAGCAGAAGGGACACAGTGAACAGCAGGCCTCTGAGACGGCAGGTGGCGTCTCTTTGGAAACAAACAGCACAGCACACGTTTCCTCACCCAGGCCCCATTTGGTTAAGCCAAAGCAGCCTGCCCACGATAAAAATATCTGCTGCCCACATTCGCGGGCTCCGAGAGCCTAACTGCAGCTCGCTGGGCACCAGCTCTCGGACAGCTTGGCGCCGTGTCAGCGTACCTGGTACTGCATGAGCCACTGCCGCAAGCCGTCTCTCCAGCTGTCCACGGCCCCCCGCACCGCCTCCCAGTGCAGGCTCAGCTGGCGGAGTCTGTCTTGGAGCTCTGTGGGCTCAGTGTTCTCCGACTGCAGAAATTCCTTGCTGCTTGCATTGACAGAGACCACTAAGGCCTGGTAGGTGTCAAAGGCTTTTAAGAAATCCTGCAGCAGAGGGTAAGAATCAGGCTAGGCACTCTATAAATCCTAATGTGGGGCTTGCCTAGAATCTCACCAGGGAACAGACCTTCCAAACAGTTTCCTGGCTGCGGCCACAGAAATAAGAGTGACCTCGCCCGTGACTGGCTGGGAAGCATCAGGTGAGGAGCTGCCGGACAAGGTCAGTGAACTTTGCTGCAGGCAGGGCTGGTGAGCAGAAGCGTTTGCCTCTCTCCCAGCAGCTGCCTCGACCCGACCCTGCTGACCTCTCAGATTACAACATACCTAGTTATCCCACATTTGCCCCCATATGTCCTTAGAATGACTAACAATTCCTAATGCACTGAGTGAAAGAAAAGTAAAAATCTGAAACAAAAAACCAGTTGCTGTTGAACCAGTTCTGATCCTTGGAGACCCTAAGGACGGCACTGTGCTCCATAGGGTTTACAATGGCTATATTCTCAGAAGTAGCTCACCAGACCTTTCTTCAAAGGCACTTTTGAGTGAACTTGAATCTCAACATTTCAGCATGTTAACTGCTTGTACCCCTCAGGAACTCCAAATTAACCCATGTTCAGAGTTCCCCCAAAGTATAGGGCTCAAATGATCACTTGCCTGCTCACAGGCTTATCCCAGTGGGGAAGGGACTCATCCTATGGGTGACAAATCCTAATGTCATATAGAGTCACAGTGTTTACTTGTGAGTTTGTCCTTCCTTACTCCTACCCTGCCACGTTGCTGCACACCACCAGCTTTGCCCAGGCTGTTGGCACAACTAGAAGGGTGGGTCTGAGTCAGGGTTAAAGTGGAAGCTGCCCGAGAACCTAGAATCTCTGAGTTCTGACTCAGCACTGGGGATCATTTGCAGATGCGGTGCCCCATGAAAACAAATGGCGTGCATGTGGTTGCCAGTGGTAAGAGCAACCACACACCATTTGCAAGACGCAGTCTGCGTCACCAGCAAGTCCTGAATGCCTATGTCCCTCAGCACCTCCAGCTCACCATCAGCCTCTTCACCCTGAGCCCCATCTCCTGGATATTAGAAGGGGGTGTTGCCATCTTTAATGTTTCTAGTTCGGCTTCAGTGTTTCTCAGCCAAGTGGTGATGCTGCTGATATCAGAGTTCAGCTGCTGCAAATCTTGTTTGATTCTGAGCTTGCCATGAAGTTCTTGCGGTTGGATCAGCTCCCATCTGTCAAAGGCACCTGGAATAAGAAGCTGCCAATTAAAAAAAACAGCAAAGATGCAAACACATTTCTCTGCTCCCAATTAACTAGGGGTCAGGGTGGTGAAGTGGGAGAAACAGGATTTGGGTGTTTTCTCTTGGCCTGGAATATGAAATGCACCCCTCTATCCCCCAGTTCTGGTTCAAGGCCTATGTCCTTCCACTCCCACAGATGAGACGGTCAAGGCTGGAATGAGGCGAGTGGGTGGTAGGAAACCCAGCTTGTTGCAAATATGTAGTGTGGTCCACAGTCTAGCATTTCAATTTCAGTTCATGTGACTTTTAAGGTGTTTTCTCCTTCAGTCTGTGAATAATCAGGCTAATGCTATCAGATTTTGTTCAGACTTGGTGGATAATCTTTCATTCTTTTATAACCATTGAACTTGCCTCATGAAGAAGACTCCAATCACAACTCTTTGATCATCTTCAAGTCTAATTTTCATATACAGATAAAGTCACTGCAAGATGCACTTTATCACAGAAGGCTCATTTTATCAATAGTTATAAGAATAGCTTCGAAAGGAAAATGAACACTCTACGAAGTAGGTCATAAATACAGGTCAGCTGATTCTAAAAGAACGTTGACTTACAGTCAATTCAGTCATTTTTATGAATGCTATAGCTGGTTGATTCCTAATTAATGTTCTGCTGAACAACTACTTCAAGTAAATGCCCAACTGACCTGAGGAGCCTTACCCCACGTTTCATTTTACCTGCTTGCTGCCCAGTTAGCCCAGCCAGCCCTTTGTCTCCCCCCTGGGGGCTGCTGCTGTCTAAGACACTCGGGCCTTCTTTGCCTGGAGGTAATAGCAGCTTTCCCTAGAAGGAAACACATTTTAAATTTTCATTGTAAGATTAAATACCAATTTTAATGCCATTTAAAATGTAGACTGAATAGCAACTTGGCTTTTAGGAACAGGCAGGAAATTCAGGCACAGGGACCTTCCCTTGAAAGGGTGACTTCACAGAGGCGCTCTCTGTAGGGTTAGCATTGAAAGTAAGCAGAGTGAAGGACAGAAGTAAAGCCTTGAAAAAGGCCCTCGAGGTGGGAAGCAGTCGGGGATAAAACAGTGTGTTTCATTTGCACGCTTCCTAACACTCCTTAAAGGAACCATGTGAAGAGAGTTTAAAAACAACTGGGAAGTTTATCAGACTGTCACCGTGTTAGCACTTGGACACTGTCACCGTAGTTTACAGAATTTTAGTTAACTGTGCCCAGTCACTACGCTGTAGAGGTGGTTGGCATTATTATCACAGGGCATCGGAAACACACAGACCACAAGTCTGTCTCCCAGGGTCTTTCATTACCAAGCGTTTATTTTTCACCGCATTTAGCGGTGACTCTTCTGTTACCACAGAGCTGAGGGGGCTATTATCTCAGGCCCTTCAAAAAATAAGTGCGTCCTTTTTATTTTCAGAAAAGCCATGCTTTCTTTGGCCTGTGTGTGTGTGGAATGAAAAAAACCCTTCAGATTTGTGGAGACACACCTGGCTTCAGAAACAATAATAAAAAAAAAAAAAAGGCGGGCTTTCGGAACTGGTCAGGTGAGGCAAACCAGTGAAATCACTGGGAGAAACCAAACCCTGAGGGCCCTGGATGGGACTGTTCCAGGGCTGGGTCTAGCTCCCGCAGACCCACAGGTTGTATGCCACACAGCAGGAGGGGCAGGCTAAACATGACAAGAGCTTACTTACTAAGCCAGAGGAAGAGGTTCTGAATTGGGCATGATTTGGATTTGACCATTTCCAATTAACTAGCAACACTGACAGAGAGGGCGTTTGAGAAAGAACCCAAGAACAATTACATTGCTTTTGGTTTCTCTATAAGAGGACACTAAAAACACAAGAGACACTGCAATTTCAACACTGCCATTGCTTATTCTGTTCTGTGAGTGACCTGGGGCCAATAACCCCAGGCTGGTTGCCCCTCAACAGCTGCCTACAAGAGAATGCCCACGAAGCCCTGCTGCCTGAGGAAAATGACACTATGGAGGTGCAACTCACAACCCCACACACCAAACCCACTGCTCTCCAGTGGACCCCAACTCTATTAACCCTATGATAGTAATAAGAATGACGAAAACCTGTCGGTGGGCTTTTTTTGTATTAGGAACTTCATTTGAACTTAGATGCATTATCTTCAGATGAGGAAGCCCAGGCTTACAGTTAGGCAAAGTGCTAACAATTTAGCGGTAGGTCTAGGACTCAGCCCTCAACTACCACAGGACACCGTCAAATCTTTTTGAATACAAAGTCATAATTTAATAGGATGTGTGGACAAAAGGAAAAGTGTAATGAAGGCTTGAGAACTCAGGAGCTGTTCAAGAAAAGCAGCTGCTCATTCCCCACTGTCAGCATGGGTGACAGAGTCATCAGTAACTGCTGCTATACCATGCCAATATCACCGATGGTCTGGGGCCAGAAACCTATCTACAGAGCTAGTCACAGTTCTGCCAAGCCTCATGAGACCTCATGAGACCAGGCCTGAGAGCACGAACAGCTCAGCACAGATAGTGTCACTGTGGGAAAACCAACTCAGAACAGGAGCCTGGAGAGAGAGCATTCACGGAATACAGAGAAGTTGTCTCTTTTTAAAAACGATTCCTCATGATCAACCTTGTTGGTATTTAATGTAATTTCCTATTGGAAATCCTATTTAGAATATGAGAAAGAAGGGAGTTCAAGAAAGGAAATTTCCCCAGGGGTCCCAACAGTTACACGCCCAGTGGGGTCAAGACTTACGTAGGCTGCCTTGTAAGGGGTGCTAGAATCTGAAGGGAGGGGTGGTACATTCCTGTCACCTTCCATTGGTTTGTAGCGATGCTTCAGACAGGAAGGGCTGTCAGGAACATGCCATGAGTGGCCATCAGAAATGGATTTACCTGAAACAAAAACCAAAAGTGATAGTCTATTCTCTATAAGCAAAAGATTTATATATTTAGTTATATGAAAAAGGTCATGGGTAATGCAGCATCAGGTTATAATATAAAAGAGTTCTGCAGCTTCCTCTTGCAAAGCATGCAATGTTTGCAAAATGTCAGTATGTCCCAGAAGGGGATGGAATGAGAGACATGCAACCGAATAACACTGTGCTTTCACTAGATGGGTTCACAGATGGGGCACAACAAACATACAACTGGCTGCCGGATGAGTAGCGTTTTGGAGCTGGGTCTCTGATGGTGGTGACAGTGGGCTACAAGGCCAGGTCTGGGGGGCCAAGAGGACAGATGGCCTCTCAGGTGTGAGGGGAAGCGAGGACGTCAAGATGGGCTTGGGAACTACAGGGCTGCCCATGGCTCGACTCCACCACCACAGATGGGGTGGGCCAGAGAAGAAAGCTTCGAGCCACACAGCAAGCAAAGGAAGGCACCTTCTTCCACGAATACAACAGCACCTCTACAGTCCCCCCACCCACCTACTCCTCCTCTGCCCAGGAAATCACCATAAGCAAAGAAATAGTTCCAAACCAAGCCACCATGAAGAAAGCTTGATCCAGGCCAAAGAACTTTAGTCAAATGGAGGAAAAATAAAAGAGGCACCATGAAAACTTCCCTTCTGCACAGCCCTGAGTGGAGGGGAGGGGCGGCACTGAGCCCTCTGGGTTGAGCGGGGTTTTGTGGCAAGCACGCAGGTATGTGTGAGTACGGCAGTGTAAATACACCATGACACAAGGACCAAGGCGCATGGTGTCCACAGAAGGCGGAGGTCAGACATGACATGGAGCGAGGTTTAGGATGCAGTGCGCACTGCAGGGTGCTACCATGTTGGGACACATGCATGGACAAGGGCCTACCAGAAGACGCTTTCAAAGTTTTTGTGGTCATTTTAAGATAGGCCTCAGGATTTTCAGGGATTTCTACATCTGAAAAAGAATAATGTCATTTTCCTTACTGGAGGAACATGTGGATTAATGCCAAGTATTATGTTAAAACAGAAGACACGCTGTCAGCTGGCAGGAGAAAACCAACTACCTTTATCTTTCAATTGAAAAGATTTCAAAATCCAGAAGGACTTCTCAGCCACCTCTGACTGTCCAAAGTGGGGGTGAGGGAGGGAGTGTATGCAGGAAAACGGGAAGCACTCTGAGCATCTCAATGCACAAACTCACTGGTAAGTTGTTCCCAAACATCCAGAGCCATAAATGATAGCTCTAATGTCTGAATATGAATCTCCTTTCTTTTCTTCTTTTATTCCACCAGTAATAGGAGGGACCCAACTCTCAGCTGACAGCCCAGAGGGCAGGACAGAACATATGAAGCCACGAAAAGCCCGGATCAGCCAGAAGCTAGTGAGTGGACTTTTGATCACTGAGAGTTGGCTGAGCCACTAAGGCACACACACAAAAACCTAACGGGGCTTTTTCATGGCCATTACCTGACAGTGCACTGTAGTAGGGACCCTCCTCGTCGTCTTCATGAGAGGAGGAGCCCCCCACATCACCTGTGTGATCCCATTCCAGAGGGATGGAGTCCACGCTGACAGGGGTCTCACAGCCAGACCGTTCGTGGCCCGGTGCCGGGGGCATCAGGTGGCAGAGAGACTGCAGAGATGAGGGCTCTTCACTACCAGCCCTCTTACACCACGAGTCACTCGGGAGCTCTCTGGAGTCTTCCATGTCTGTTTCATTCTCAGAGGCTTCCTTCTCATCTTCCAAGGCCTACATGGGAGAATCCAATTTGAAAGACAACCAACTCACAGGCTGTCACAGTTGAAAGGAGCATTCGAATTTGGCATGACCAGCAGTTCCTGATAATGCTTGCCATTAGCATTTCTGACACAGATTTTAAAAGAATCAGACTCCCAGACCCATTCCAATTTAGAATGGTCATTCCATTTAGATGCCCTGCATTGGGGCCTAGAAGTTGTATTTTTTCCAAAGCTCCATTCTCCCCCGCTAGGAAATAAACCCCAGAAATCTGATCATCTAAGTTGAATGTATCAATGTAAAAGAAAATGGAGGCCGAAGTTTCAGGTAATGGCAAGAACCAAGGACCAGAAAACCCACACAAATAAGGAAGATTAGAGTATTTTGAGTAAGATTCACACCTTCAAGGACTACATGTACTCAGCTTTTTCTTTCATATGTCCCATTTTATTCAGTGTTGATGTCCACACTGTGTTGTAATGCTTCTGTAAACAGCCCCATTTTCAAAATGAGGGAACTGTAGGATAATTTCTGAAGCTCTTTCTAATGAAGAAATAACTACGTTTAAATTTGACCAGTTGGGGATACAAAACAAAGAAGTGGCTAGTCCTGCTGGTTGTTGTTGTTAAGTGCCGTGGAGTTTAAGTGTTAAGTGCTATGTTGTTAAGCAACCCTGTAAGGATTTCCAACGAGTGGTTGGTGACCGTGAACTGCTGACCTTGCAGTTCAAAACAACTTTGTAGTCCAGCACATTAACCCACAGTGCCACACCAGGACTCCACTGTTGGTTTAGTGGTCGCCATTAAGTGAAGATTTTTGCACACACACACAAGTTTGAACAGCTTAGTTAGCTCCATCTAAACTTCCCAAAAGGTCCCTTTGTCAAGGGAAAGATCAAAGTTGCAGTGAAAATAAAGTACCAGAAAGGCATGAATAGTGAAAGCTCCCAGACACACTAAGTTAAAGGAAAAGGCAAACAGATTCCCAAAGTTAAGCATACCCAGAATACTTAACAACTGATTTTAGGGGTACTGACATATGCCAGAAAAATTTGCCCTGAGGAAAATACGCTGAGAACAGGGCACTTTTAGAAGTGCTGTCTTTCCCACTGAGGACTGGAAACTGGAAGGAACTGTGGTGGGGATACCTGTGGCTAGCTCTATGTTGTAAAAAGTGGAAATAAAAAATTTCAATGTAGGCTTTATAGCAGCAAACACAGTTAGCCATTACGAGATTAGGTTTCCCAATGCTTTGAAAGTTCCGACAAATCTACCCTGTGAGCAGCCCAGAAGCCCTCTCTGGGCAGTGTTTCGCCTTACCGGATGGTGGGAGGTCAGCCTCCGGTGGAATCGGGAGACCCTGCCGAACACCTCCTGACAGTATCGGTGGAGTTCCTCCAGCTCGTCTTCAATCAGCACTGCGTCTAGGGGCTCACTCTTTTGAATGAGCTGCTCTCCAAACACTATGAGCTGATCAATCTTGTTGGTATTTAATGTAATTTCCTGTTGGAAACCCTATTTAGAATATGAGAAAGAAAGGACTTCAAGAAATGAAATTTCCCTGGGGGTCCTGGTAGTTTCTGTTTCTTGTGGACCAACATAAATAAAAATAACCAAAACATCATTACTGTTTTGTCCCTTCACCTAGTACTTAGCTAAGTGACAATGCAAACTGACCACTTTAAAACATTTGCACAGACATTATTTAGGTTCTTAGCTAAATGACAATGCAAATTTAATACTTTAAACTTTGGCACACACATTATCTTCCTTTGGGGCACTGGCTTTTCTGATTAAAATACTCCTTAACACGTAATGAGGATGGTATTTATTTACTGGGTTTGAGCAAGAGACTTGTCTAACCCATTGACTGGCGGGTATTTCCTATGATAAGCTACCAATGGACATTCATTTCCATTTGTTTGTTGGCATCATATATATTGCTGTTCGGGCATGACAATTTTCCATTTCTCACCCTCTTCTAAAATCGGACCAGTGAGGGAATTATAATGAATACGGTATCTCCGTAGTGCAAATGGTCGACAGCTAATTGAAAGGTTGGAGGTTCAAGTCCAGAGACAGCTTTAATGAAAGGCCTGGAGATCTACTTCTGAAAACTGGGCCATTGGAAAACTCTGTAAGCACAGTTCTACTCTGACACCCATGGGGTCGCTACGAGTCAGAGCTGATGCCACAGAAGCTGCTTACTGGTTTTATACTGTGATGTGGCTATTTGTAACAAAGCAGAAGGTATCTGTTATTGTCCCCACTGTTGATACAGATGCCCCTCCCTCCTGTCACACCTAATAAAGTTCTCTTTGGAATCTAGTGCTCATTCTCCCACTGGTGGATTATAAATGAGAAAGAGAAAAAGGAGCCCGTGACAGTGATCTCTGGCTGCCTTAACAATTCTGGAATGTGGTTCTCAGGGCATCAGATGACATTTGTACATGGCCAGTTCTCTGTAGAGGTGCATTCTTTTCAGAGGAGCGAAGATGGTAGCCCTTACATTCAGCTGGCGCATCTTGTCGTCAGCATCGCTCTCAGAGAAGTGCTCCACGTTAGTCAGCTGCAGGTCCATTTCGGTCAGCCAAACCAGAATGCTCTCCCTGGTCCCCTCAAATTCCTCCCTCTGGTTGGTGAAATGCTGTAAAAGTGGAGGAAAAGAAATCACGTTTGAGTTGATGGAAGGAGACTCCAGGCAGACAGCGAGATCACGGAGGCTGAGAGGAGAGGGTGCCCAGAGCACTGGGAGAACAATCTGTCTCAAGGGTACCAGATGGCTGAGCAGGGTCAGGAGCCTGGGCTCTGCGACTCCTTATTCTCAGAGTTCAGCTTTTTCACCAGCAAATGAAGGAGGGTGACTAGATGCTCGCTAAAGCCTCTACGGCATTGGAAATAACAGTAACTCTCTAAGCTGTATCAGCGGCTTTTTGTTTTTAGGTGTGAGACTTAAAAAAGACACATACACGCACGCACGCACACACATATACAGAAGTCCTGGTGTGGCACTGTGGGTTAATGTGCTGGGCTGCAAAGTCAGTTTGAACTGCAAAGTTGGCAGTTCAAGCTCACCAGTCACAGCAGTTAACAACAACACATATAACATACAAACGTACACACATACACATGTTGTTGTTGAGTGCCATCAAGTTGGTTCTCACCCATAGCATATATATATATAT